TGCTGGGATTCTATCATCCTGTTCCGTCCAATCAGATATGTGATTGCGCTGCTTTCCTTGAGCAAAGCTGACTGCCACGTATCCGCTGACGGCCATATCTCACCGAGTGCACCGGATCTCTTTCGACCTCCGAAGTTAAGCGGTGGAGAGCCCGCCTTGCACTGACATGGGAAACCGGCCGCGAAGTGCTTAGGGTGGTGTCAACTTTTGCCGTCGAATTGTGCCTCGAGGACACCTACATACCGGACGTACAACTTGCCGGATTCCATTCGAGGATCATCCGATAAAGTTGGCATGATACAAAGAAATTAGCATGGCCCCTGCGCAAGGATGACACTCACAAATGGAGAAGTGTAACAAGTTTGGTTTACAATGTGCATGCCCACGTTGCGCTACGACAAAAAGTTTTGTGCTTGACAACGAAACTAGACGAGAGGTTCCTCTTCTCCCGACATCGAAACACGACCAAGAGCGATAGCAAGATAAAGCAACCCAGGGTGGACTCGAGCCACCATACTTTGATGTGGATCATCACAAAGCGATCAAAAGCGGTAGTGGCTCTGGCTGCAATAGGATTTGCTGGGATTCTATCATTCTGTTCCCTCCAATCAGATATGCGATTGCGCTGCTTTCCTTGAGCAAAGCTGAATGCCACGTATCCGCTGACGGCCACATCTCACCGAATGCACCGGATCTCTTCCGACCTCCGACGTTAAGAAGTGGAGAGCCAGCCTAGTACTGGCCTGGCGGACCGGATGCGAAGCGCTTAGGGTGCTGCATCATCTTGCTCGCGGCCTCACCCACCACGGACATCAGGTTGCTCTTCTATTAAGAATTTAACTCGCTTCTCCGTCCTTGCAGGACTGTATTTGATGAAAACACCCTCGAGGAAGTTGATGTGAAGAAAGTTGTGTGGTTGGAATTGGAATAGTCGTTGGGCATGTGTACGGTTCTTCTCGAGGACGTTCCGGGTACTGTATCTTGAGATGTTCCTGGTGGCTTCTTGACATCTGACATCATCTGACTAATATACGTTTCCGCACACGGTTCCACGGTGTAGCGGCCTGGAATAATGTTCCTGCTAGGGGGAGCCACGACCCCCTCGCGGGATACATTCCGCACTCGGGCGTCAATCCAGGGCGTCCTCTCGTTGTCGTGTCGTGGATGCTTGACCACTGGCGCGCGACGCAGGACAGCCGGGTAGCTGATGTTGTGCACATTCGTCGGGGGTAGGTTGTCTATGCTGGACCCCGCATTAAAGAGCGGCCTGGAAGAATGCATCCCTCCAGGCGTGAGCCAGGCGACCCCCCCCGGGATACATTCCTGGCGGCGGCATGGTTACGTTCACGCTGTTTTCGGTTTAGGGGTGAGCACTGCAAAGTCCGTGATCCGGAACTTAGATATAAATGCGGGTGTCATCTGAAACCAGGCCAAGACTTGTTCATAAGACCCTTCTCTGGGATATTCTGGGATACATTATCGGCGGCCGGGTAATGTATCATGAGAGGCACCGGCCCCCCGGGATACATTAGTTGGCGGGGGGGTATCAGTCCAGCATTATAGGGATTTGCGTACGAAGCGAAGCTGGCCTCAAACTCATGGCCCCATAATATCTTTGGACGGCTTCAGCCCAGCTGCGCGATAGACCTGCGCACACACACACACAATCACCGGTAACGCAGTTAAGGCTGCAGCCCAAGCGGAAGGATCCAACGGTAAACGCAAGTTCGCAGGTCCAGCCAATTAGCAGCGCAGGATCCACGTTCCCGAGAGAACGAGAAGCAATCTCGGAGGCAGCCAGAATCCGCACGTCGCCGTATCTCCAGCTGTATAGCTGTTTGACAAAAAGCAAAACTGCAGAATAGCCCACTAAGTCCACCTGGCATCTGCAAGAAAGTGTTCGAAGAAATGCAGCCCAGTCAATGGACAGCACTGAGTTCTTATTATCAGTCTTGCGCTGAAGCAACCCGATGGCCAAGCCAAAGAATGTCTAACGGACGCACGCTCGGTTGCAGAGCCCGTCACTGACGCTGCGCACAAAGGCCGCCATGTAAAGGCCGCGCCAACCTGCGTCATTTGCGATCTAATAACACTGCTGTTTCCGGGTCACGCGCTGATCACGCCGCGAGTAAACAGAATGGACGAAGCGTACGAAAAGGCTTTTCTCCTTTGCTGCCACACATACCAGCACACTGACATCCGAGAACAAGTCAGGGAGAACGCGGAATGCACTGGCATTCTGTTCTGCACGCGAAGCAATTACTCCCAGCCTGTGATCACCGGTCACCACAAAATGCGCTAACGATCGCTGAAGTCGAGCTCACCGCTGCTTGCGCGAAAATCGCCTGCCTCGGCCTTGGCAAGCAGGGCTGCGCAGCGTGATGTACCACATGCAGTTCAAAAATCTAGAACTTTGGCACAGGAACACGACTCGCAAGATTTTGATTTCAAGGCCCTCACGTACGCGGCAAGGTCGCAGGGGGATCATCCCGCAAAATTTACCCACGCTGGCACGCTACAGCCGCTACAGGCATAGGCCAGCCATGATCAGCTAGGACTTCGTCCAGCCAGGTTTGCCGCCACTCGGGCAAGTGTGTACGGCCGAATCTATGCAGAAGGCGAAGATCAGCAATAGTAGCTTCGAGCTCATCCGCCCTGTTCCTCGCAGCGCCGACAGCATGCCTGATTCGAGTACGCCAAGTGCTGATCTCGTCCGAGTCCACGTACAGCTGCAGCTCTGGCACATAGAGCGCCGAACGTCCGACCTCCAGATGGAGAACACTCCGACGTGCCATAACACGGCAGAGAAAATAGTCAGGAGAGCTGCAGCATCGTTTGAGCCATGATGTCCGACCTTTGCGAGCAGAACGGGGTCTAGCCGTGGTGGCCATAGCTGCAGCACAGTCATGGGCCGCTGGGTCGGTGTTGGTTGCAGCTGGTGTAACATGGCCGCGTTGCATGGACAAGGCAGATGATCCCGCACAGATGTCCTGTGTGACTTCGGCAGGCCGCTTACTCGACCGCCTGGCACCTGTGGGCCCTGCCGAGATTGACACCCGGGCGGTTCGCCGACGTTGCAGCATCAGCTGCGCTCTTGTTCGGGCCAACGATCGCGGGTGCCGAAGGATCTGACCCGCTGCCTCATCAATGTCACTATGACGCGAAGTATCAAGCAGGAAGTCAGCTGCTTCAGACGTAGCCATCTGCATCGAGCTGGCTACACGGTACTGCCTGAGGTTCCACCTGCAGCCGACCACTTCCAATTCAGTCTGTGTGAGACCCTGCGTGCGACGGGGCGGTGAGTCAGGGCGCAGAATCGGCGCCGAGTAAACTGTGAGAGGGGGCGGAACCAACGCCCATCTCTCCGTGAGAGGAGCACCCCTCCTCTGAAGCCTCTGTCTCCTGCCGGGCTTACATCGTTTGCCCATGGCTGCGTGAACACGGAGCGCTTTAGTCTGCACAAACAAAAGGGCTCCCTCTCGGATCAACCTTGCTGCAAGTAATTGGAAAGTGATGGAGCAAAGGGCAGCCCGTGGAGATTTTCGAGGTCACACAAGCTCTAGTAACTGAGACCGTCTACAAGCATCCTGAGCCCACGAGCTGCAATCACGTACTGGATACAGTGTCAGGGCAAGCAAGCAAGCAAGCAAGCAAGCAAGCAAGCAAGCAAGCAAGCAAGCAAGCAAGTTCCTTGCACATGCTGTGCGAGCAGAAAGAAATCAGGCAGTTGGCACACATAGCTCAGGTTGCTGCCAGCATCGCAGAGTCGCAGAGATCGTGAACATGCGCCCGTGGGGAGGCCATGCAGCCACATGAGAAGTGAGAACAGCGCGAACAGGAACCTGGAGCGCCAAGTTGCGTTCTCAGCGCAGCCGGAGTGACCACGTCTGAGGCTGCGGCCACGCCAGTCAGCGACTCCACCCTCATGGGTTGTCCACTAGGTCGACGTGCCTGCGGCTGGATAGATTCCGCATATTTTGGCCGTGGCATGCGATGTCTATGAAAATGAGACAGGTACCCATTGTACCGTTCAGGCGGGTTAGCATCTTCCACTTCCACTGCTGGAGCTGAGGGTAGAAGTGCAGAAGATGTGTACCTCTGAGGCACATTGTGGCACACTACAAGGATTCATGTCCCATGCCACGATGACTGGCGGCTCGGATCCAAAGCCGCCGGCAAGACAACTAACTGTATGCGCAAAGCCACAGCCTCCAGGACGACGTAAAGTGGGCGTTGCACAGGGACCTTGCCACAGGGTGCTAGAGGCTGCATGGGGTCCAGAATGAGCACCGCCAGTCACGGTTGAAGATCCATGTGGCTCCATCGTGTTTGTGATCCTCCATGCCATAGAGGAAAGTACAGCACTGATATGTACTGACATGGTGGCTCGAAGTGGCACTGTTTTCGCAACTGAAGATGCTGTGGTCAGCGCTGTTCTCGAACCTGCTGCCACAAATCCTCTGCCTCAGAGTGCAGATAGACCTGCAAATGCCTGTGCACTTGCATGGCCGTTACTCGGCTGTATGCGCTTACACAACCAAAGCATATCTGCTGTGCGAATTTGCAGACCTCGCCATACAGCATCCGTCCACCAACTCTTCGTTTGTGCTGGGGTTCTTCGCGTCGGCTCCTGCCTCGAGGCCCACGCGCCAGGGACCAATGAGAGCTCCTCGCTGCACTTCGACATCTAAGCCGCAACTGTACGAACAGTGTGGCTGAGCTAGTAAGCGCAAAGCTGAACGAAGCGCAGCTAAGCCATACTTTGATAGCGCAGTGGTTTGTAAGCAGTACCACCGGTGAAGTCATGAGCTGTAATTCTATCTCAAATTCCCAATGTGGCTCGAGCCGAGAGCCGTCTGCGTGCAGATCCATCGACCCATCCATCCATCCATCCACCAACGCACAAGTACACATGTGACTGTTCTCGCATCATCCGAGCCTGCCCCGCGCCCTTTTCCGAGCCCCCCCCTCTCCCCCACGTAGAAGAAATTCGGTTTTTGAGACCCGTTTTACAAAGAACTCTAACATGCGAAATCTGAACAAGTGGAATACAGTAACCGCATTACAGAGTCATATGGCGGGGCCTGGATAGCAGAAAAAGTTTCGTGGCAGTATACTGCATACTTATAGAGACCCAGCAACCTCAACGGTTGGGCCTGGGGCTGCTGGAGTAGCACCTCCATCTCGGCCACCTGATCCTCTGCACAAGGCTTCGAGATTGCAGGATTCTGCGAAACGCGGAGAAGGAACCCCCTAAACAAGACGAATGGGCGGTATTACAGCCTCCGCTGCGGCGAGATGCAAGTCTGATCTCCGCCGCGTCTCGACCTGCACTGGATGCTGCATTTTTGTATTGCAGGGCTTACGATCGCAGCATAAAGCAGCTCTCATTGTTTCACTTCTGGGCTGCGGAGATTTTAGGCCTGGGAGGTTTCAAGTTTCAGTGCTTCCGCTCGTGGGATTTGGGAGCTGTTGCGAATTCTGTACATGTCCGTACATGTTTGAGACCCCAAATATTAAGGGACTTAAAGTCCTGTCATGCAGCACAACTACCCTTGTCTTTAGGAACGCGTCAGTGCCTGCTTCAGGCGATTCGATGGCTGCCTGGCCTAGCTTTAGAGCTTTTTTTGAACGAGCAGAGACCTCTCTGGAAGTGAACTGCCCAGAAAAAACATTACCGGGCATTGAAGATTTCCGGGGGAGCCTTACAGCGAGACAGGTCTACCAAGTCCCAAGACTGCAACGCGAGAGCTGGCGGAGAGAGAAACACCCACTTGCATGAGCAGCCATGTTAGGAAACGGCCGACATCACCCAGTGTCCGAGAGTTTCGCAAAATCAAGTCCTCTCATTAGAAAGAAAATCCCAGGTAGCAGGATTTTCAACATAAGGACCCCTGCATCATGTACCACTATGAAAACCAAAGCCGCAAGCCTTGAGGAACGGCAGCACCACGAGCTGCAGCTCCATCCCGGTCGCCAGCAGAGACGTCTCCTCCAAAAGAAGACCTGGGCTGAGGCTTAGGAGGGCTTCATGGCTAAAGATGTTGGCGCGAAGGCTTGGCGGGATTTTGGGCTGGGCTTCAGGGAGAGGCCTCGCCTTGAGACCCTGGAGTTGACACAGTGCTTTAGGGATAAATCAAAAACACCTCTGCGCCTATCTATGGATATATAATGATATATATATATATATAATGTGTGTGTTACTGAATATTGAATATGTTGCTGTCCCTGGAAAATCCCTCCTGCTCCAAGGAGCCATGGTCCAGGAGCTGCAGGCGGAAGCAGGAGACGCCTCTAAGCTCTAAGCACCGTCTTGCTGAGGTGCTCCTGAAGACTTGGATTTCTGTGCTTCGGGGATTCGGAACTAGAGTTTAACTTGGAATGCGCGAAGTTTAGAGCATTGAAGCTCGAGCCTGTGAGCGGTTCGAGCTTAGGAAGATAAAGGGGGGCAGGCTGGTTTCACGGGGATTCGCAGATGGGCTGAGGCTTCGAGGTCGACGATTTGAAAAACCTACGGAGTCGAACTGTAAAGTCGGAGATGCAGAAAGCTGTGAGAACATGAAGGACGAACAAACCTGAATGTCCTTCAGAGCCCTGGCCGTCTTGCTTCCCCGTCTTGCGAACTCCTGGGCCCAGGTATTCTCATCACTGGCACCACAGAATCCTTTGCAACATGCTTTGCAGGTGATCCACACACTCGTGTTACCAACTCCATCCGTGACGTTATTATTATTTCATCTTACAAGTCTGTTATTCAGTCTTCACATATATACATTAGCAGTTGCGATGTAACTAGAGCGGTGCTAATGACAATATCGTAACTTGATAAGAGGACTATCCAGCGTAGTGATGACGTGAAGATGTTAAGGCATAGTTCAACCTCTACGATGCGCTACCGCCGCGAAAACCGGAGGAAGCCTCTCCCCCTCCCAAGCAGATCGCCTCCAGCTCGTCTTCACTGAAGCTTGCCACCAACGCGCCCGAGAGGCCCCAGACACGCAGCATGGCAACGCTCGGGGTCTGAAGGCTTTCCGCTGAGGCTTCAGCAAGGATGAACATCAGGATTCGCTGGGGACTTCAGTCAGAGACCTTTAAATGGGGCTTGAGAGATTGAGGTCCTTGGGGCTGAGAGTTTCGGTTTGAAGCTGGTTCCGGAAGCGCAAGCTGTGAGCCAGATTGCAGATTTTTGTTGTGACGTTGCATTCTCAAATCCACCCTTGCGTACTTGGAGCGGAGATGCGCACATGATTTGTGTGCGTTACACAGCCCGCTCCTTATCGGCGGCTTCCACGTGAGTGCGGAGCTTCCTGGCACTGGGACAACCCTCAGAGTCAAGCAGGTCCTGGAGCTCACCTACCCGATACACAGCGTGACATACCTGTCCAGTGATCCGAGGCTATCTCGACGCCTTTCAGCTCTCAATGTGGCAAGTGGTACGCCTCCTAGAGCTCAGAGCTCGTCTACATGCGATGCCGAGTGGCTGCAGCGACCGCTCGGTCTGCCGGCCCAGGGAGGAGAACTGTCCTCTGTATCAAGGTCTTTTTGGATTTGGGCAATAATTGCAAACTGTTGACTGTGAGTCCTGCAATTCTGTACACGAAGCAAGAGGAAGAATGCGAGAGAATGATAATACGAGTTTTTCTGATATTCTCCTGGCGAAAAACTCGGAGTGCAAATGCCTCTACTTCGGCATAGGCTTGCTGGGTTTAATTCGGGCACACCAAGTCCTAAACCTTTTGGTCAAATAACAAGCCGGAAATCCCGAAACAACTGCCAGTCAGTCTTGCATTCTGATTCCTGAAGCCCTACAGGCTTTGCCAGCGAAGAGAGCCCGAAGCCCTGCGCCCTGTCATCCCTCAAGGTGTAGAGATGCCCCAAGAATCGAAACCGGAAGAGACTGTGCCCTCAGGGATCTCCTGGTATGATCTCGGTGCAGATCGTCATGGCTCCAAAGAGTCGGGCTGAGGTCTATAAGATGATCCCCATGTCACAGTGTTGGGCGTTCGGATCTCTGAAGCTTTGTGGTATCAGGCGTTGGGGTTGAGGGTATACTCGTTTCTAGGACTACGGCTACCATGGGAGGAAGAGTGGAGGTGGGCATCAGGCTGACACTTCTGAGTGCGCAATGGCTGCCGGTGGCTAACCGCTAACCCCAAACTCCAATCCTAACCTCATCTTCGAAACCCCCAAAGTTGTGAATACTACTTCTCGTGCGAAATCGCCCCAAAACCTCTTCTTGATTGACAAGCCCTGTCTACACCATCGGCCCGACAGTTGAGACCGTTTGGGGGCTTGAATGGGAGTAGTTTTCCCGAGCACGAAACGGCCTGCCCCGAACACCAAAGCTTGTGACGACGTCAGTTCCTGCTCTGTGGCGTAGAGCGGGTAGCCGAGGGAATTCCCTTGGTACGCGGCTACCTCAAGGGCGCGGTGGGCCGAGGGGCCTCAGGGAGGAGCTGAGGAGCTGTCTTCAAACTTGGGCCAAGGCGGCCAGGGCGGCCAGGGCCTACAGGGCCTACCGGATCTTCATTGCTGGCACTGCTCATGGCCGAATCGACATGACGTATGACGGAGAATAGCAGCCGCTTCGCAGTATTCGGAGGTCCTCTTCGTGTCGGAGTATTGGGCCTTATCGTCCGTTTTTGGGATCCGCGGGAGACCCTTCGAAGGATTGTAATCGGGCTGAAAGACTTCATTCAGAAAATAGTTTCGGGACCTACACCTCTAGGAGATGAGGAAAGGCATCGGGAACCGGGAACCCGGCATGGAGCAGCTCCACCACGAAGCTCTCCGGCTTTTCCTCTGTTGCAAGGGCCCGGCCTACACCCCGGCGATTTTTTGGCTCCACCTCTGCCTGGGCCCCGCAAGGCTGCAGGATGCTGCAGGGCTACAGCACGGCTAAGAGTAGCCTTCGGAAGGAAGCCTGGGGCGGCAGTCCTCCAGCATCTGCTGCAGCTCCGGAACATGTTGCTGAGTCTCTGCGACCTCCTCCGCAAGCACCTCAGAGGCTTCGCTGGGTTCGACGCTGTAGCGGACACCCGGGATTCGACATTCCCTCCGAAACTTTGTACTACGCACACCCGGCCCCGTGGTTTGGGGCCGCAATGGTCCATAGGCCGTGAATCTTAATGCCTACCTGCCCGAACCAGTGCAGTTGGAGGGTGGCAAATCCGAAGAGTGCAAGGCGTAGCCTGTAATAGAGTCAAGAGTTTAGAGCTTGTGGTTCCGCGTTTCGGGCTTGACAGGTGCGGGGCGAAATCCCTTCCTCTGTTCAACATGGAGGCATCTCCTTGTTCTCTGCCTTGTTAAAGAACTTGTAAACTGACCATAGTATGCTGATATTTGGCAAGCTAGCGATCTTTCCTATCGCAACCAGCCAAGAGAACCCAGCAGCCTCGCCGAGAACCCAGGCTTCCCCAGACTCCAACGGGGCTCGGCTCCGGGCCAGAGGGCAAAGCACGTTGGCCAACATCAGGGGCCTGGGGGCGAAGGCCGCGCGAGGCTGGGCCGGGCGGAATTTCTGTCAGATTCCTCCCTACGTGGAGCTGGTGGCCTACGGTTGCCGGCTTGATGCTGATGCCCGATGTTCGCAAGCTGCAGGAACATGCCCCAGCCAAGCACACGCATCTCGGAACCTATCTTGCCGACACGACAAAAGCACGGATGAGCTGGGGTCAACAATATCACCGTAACTGTTGCCATCGGCTCATGCATTCTGCACATACAACTCGGAACGAGGGCATCGCGCACCGTCTTGCTCCATGGTTTAGGACTGCAGGGCTTCTTCGGTATCTTTGGCTTAGGGCTTCGTCATCTCTCAATCCCAACAACCAGGCATGGAATCGACTTTGTAGGTCCCCGACAGTGCCACGGGCACATACTCCCTCAGCACCTGAGTTGGCGTTTCGTAGGTGGGATGATCGTGGCACAGTCTCAAAACCTAGATTATGTTTCAGGTCTTCTTCAAATTCGAGGACTCTGCTCAGCAGATCGTGCTTCGAGTTGTTCAGTCAAGGTTAAAGTCTTCGAGTCTACCCAAGCCTGTCCAAGAAACCCCGCAAGATCCCATGGCCCACGGCTCAGCCCAGCCCAAGGCACATCGACCTGGTAGAGGACATCCTGGCAAATTAGAAACAGAGAAACCCTCATCATTCGGCCCTTACGAAACTTAGAGTCCTAACCGCAACGCTTGCAACTTGTCCACGAACATCGCCACAAAAAGACAAGAAGAAAAGAATCGCAATGCAGCAACTCTACATAGCTGCGTGCAGGATGCTACTTTGGTGTTTTCCATCGGCTTTGCGATGTCGGCTTCTGCAGTCTGGTGTTTCACACGGCAATCTGAACCCAAAGACGTTCCCTGGCACCTCCCGGCCGACCCGGCAAGACCTCAAAGCGCAACAGCTTGGAAGCCCGACAACCAGAGCTTGGGTCCCCTGAACCTCATTGAGGCAAGAGCTTGAAGACACAACTCCCGTACCAGCTGCGTGATTGTGACTATCTCGCTTCTGATGCCCTTCTATCCAAAATGTCTTAAGTTCTGCGACGGCGTGAAGCTCGCGTGGGCTTTCCCTCGAGATGTTGGATCGAACAGCCACGAGAAACCAAAGAACGACTCGTTTGGCCCATAACTTCTCTTCTCTCTCCCGGGCGTAAGCCTGCGTCTCTCCCCCTGGTCCACTCGTGCCGGAATGGCCGGAAATTCTGGTCGAGACCGCAGCAGCTGGCCAGAGTCTGGAGTGCTCTGCGAATTCTGCGAAGTGACGCAGTGCCAAGGCCTGGCCCGAACTCCCCTGGACTCCCCTGGGCCCTCGGGCGCAGCGGCCCCGAGCTGCTCGAGCGTCTTCTGCGTTCGGAGATGCGTCAGGTGCGCCGAAGATCGGAACCTGAGTGGCGGTGGCTGTGAACTGTCGCAGACGTTTACATGCCCTGGGCTTCCAACAGTACAGGGCGAGGAAGCGGGCCCGT